GAGTTTGGGTATAAATTGTGGTTGTCTATGTGTTTCCATGTCATCCGCGATCCAGGCTTACCTTAGTGACTAGAGTCATAACCTCGATGAGTAAAAAAATTATAAAAGTAGTAGGTATATTTTGTTATAAACCATTAGTTTACATTTTAAAATAGGGAGGTACCCTACTTATGTCAAACACCGTAACCTTTCTTGAACTACTATCTGTAATATCTACAGAGTTTCAAAATGGCAACCGTTAAGATACATAATGGTTTCCCGCGAAAAATATCAGGAAATTAAACTGTTGAAGAAAAATTACAAACCAAGATCTGGCAGTATGGTTAATGAGACGCCTTAGCCTATTCCAAACGACAAAAACATTAGTACTATAATATTATGAATGTGTTTCTGTCTCTCTAATTTAAATTATTTTATTTAGTGCATATTTACCTCCAGGTCCATAACAGAGAACATTGTTATTGACAGAGAGAGCTGTCAATTTAGGCAGAGGCGATGTAGTAGGAAAATCCACCCTGTAATCGATTGGCATTCCATGATTGAAGTCATCGAGAATGTAGGGATTGTCTCCTATTGGTGCTAGGCGACCGACGTAATTCTGAAAAAGTAGAAAGAGGTTTTAAATACACTTTTTATTTGCTTTTTTTACAAAATATTTATCCTCTGTTCCATCCATTTTATAGATATTTTATTTATGAAGTATGTATTTATCTAAGCATTTATTAGTCCGTAGTAATTAAATATTTTTGCTGTTTGTTTTTATTATTATTTTATTACATAATTTAATTTTGTCTTGTAGTGCACGTAAACCCATTATTGTAATTTATTATTATTAATTTATTATTGTATTGTAATCATTGTGTCCTGTATTTTGGTCTGCAAGAAGAAAAATTTTTATAGAAGTAAGCAGTACCTTTTGTTTGTGTTTTCCGTTTCACCAAATGTGATTTGTGTTTTCCTGTACAATAAATAATTAAATTTAAAAAAAAGTATTGTGAAAAAAAGGATAAGTTTTCATTAGCCATAATGACACGGCGTAAACGAAGTCTCGCTTACGGCGGTTCGCACAGTTCTATACGTTTATTATTGTGCTTATAGACCCCTGATGAAGTATAATAAGTAAGACAAGTATTTATTATCTAAATAGTAACGTAACAGCGCGACTTGTATGTGTGCACGCCCTTTCCGCGCGCACGCATTCATGTAATCGCTGGACGAGTCCAGAAGAAGTGTTCTATTGTTTGTTTGTGTTCAAAAAATTGAAGACGGATTAGATTTAAGATTAGATTATGGTATTATAAAATATATTAAAATCAAGTTAACAATTAATAATACTTCATAAAATAAACGGATTATAAAAATGAATTTAATTACTATGAAGAAATCAAGAACGAAGGAAAGAAATACAATATTTTTACTACCTAATTTATAGAATTGCACTTCAATATTTGTATCAATAATATTTTATCATTAATGTGTGTATCATCTCATTACAGTATAAGAGAAAACTCACTCGTTTTTACTCTAACGTGGAAAAGGTTTTTGAAATTCGAACTTGACGATGGACTTTTTTCCTTCCTTCATGCGATGGACCGTGGAAGAAAAAAAAGATAATGACACGTTCAACTATGCAGTTTGTCGTACATTATTTATTAAATTGACTATGTATGATAAATAATTGTGTTTATTAAATTATAAATTAAAGCAAGAATTAAAATTGATAAGGTGCAAATTCAGAACGCACCGAAAATAAACTTTTTCTTTTGATTAAAAAAACTGATGTTTTATAGTTCAATTGTTTTTCTTTCATCTACCATTTTCCTCGCTATAGTGACGTGAAAAGTTGTGTGTTTCGCTCGGCAGCAAAGTTGTTTTGCGTCTCGTGCCTTCACACACTTGCTGCGCTCAGCATAGCTTCCTTTGCTCACTCAAGCGCACTCGCGTCAAAGAACAACATTGCAGCTTTGCATAACAAATAACTATTAATACAAAGTCGCAAAAAAACCGTCTCCACGCGACGAAATTCGCGCTCATGTGAACGGCAGTACGACAAACTAACATGATCTCAAAGGGCCCGTCAACTTGCGTTGACAAGTTCCCGGCGTTGACACGGCGCCGACCGGCGGGCGTTTACTGTGAACACTTACGGCTAAAGACTTCTACATAGATATCGTTGCCTACGGCGATTTACGCGTAAAATTCAGTAAGTCGTAAGCGCGCTCACAAACGGCCGTTGAAAGCTCGTCATATGAACATGCTCTAATGTAACAAACTGAAGTGTAGTAATTTACGCACCGAGCAGGCGGGAGTTGTCCTACTCGAGCAGGCGGGAGTTGTCCTACTTGCTCTTATTATACTATGCCCCGGGTGTGTAATTTTACATAATGGATTCTGAGAAATTACAGGCAATCTGCGGACGTATACATCAGTGAGACGAACAAGTGCTACGAGAAAAATAGCACGTGACATTATCGAGAGAAAGTTGCAGAATTGCTGGCGGCTGATCGTTGCATTGACTGCCTTGAACGTTTGTTTTTTACATGTAAAATTAGTCCAGTCGCAGTCCTCCATATAATGGCCGAAATCAACCATTCAACTCCATCAATCATCATTATCAACACCAAAAATATCATCGTATCGTGATTAATAATGATAAATAAAAGCTACCTAAGCGCTAGGAACTCGGGTACTTTATTACATTGCAGCGGATAGCGAGGGACGAGCAAGGTGCGCCTGCGGGCAGTATAGCAAGAATAACTTTTTTTAAATCTTTGTGGTTTGATTTTTTCCTTTCTGGGCAATGTTGCCGTTATAACAACTTAGTCGCTTAGGTTTAATGAATTTTATGAATGTTTAGCAAGATAAACTTTGGTTTTAGCGAGAAATAAACTTTGAGACATTTTTGACCCACGGGTTATTTCAGAAATAAAAACGTGAAACATACAATCAGACTGTAAAAAATGTTACATTATTTGTGTTTATATATGCATATTTATTTTAGAATAGAATATTAGTATTTGTTGTTTATTATAATTCAAGAAGTTGATTCTCTCTTTGAAGCTTTGAATTCCATAAATAATACAAATAATCTTCAGAACACTGATTTTTTAGTTTTCTGGCACTATTAAATAATTATTTGGGTGATAATAAAAAATATCCGAAAACACTTTACTGTTACTCGAACCGAAAATTTTTTTAAAAATTGTAGCATTAGAGCGCCTTGTGAAAGAGTTCGTCGAGGGTAGTACTGCCATCTTACCTATATCTCGCGCCAAGCAGTAATGCCAGCATTACTGTGTTCCGGTTTTGAAGGGTAAGGGTGCTGGTGAAATTACAGGCACATGGGATTTGTCAACTTATGTCTCGGGGTGACGGGCGCAGTGGTAGGGCCCCTAAGATCTTTGTGATTTAAAGCTCTGAGTGGCACTGCAACTGTTATGGACAGGCATGTAGCTTACCATCAGATGCACGACTTGTTCGTCCCGTCACTTGATACTACAAAAACACAAAAGTTAAAAACCGAAACAACCGCTTTTCAAAATTACTCGATATTTGCATGCCCTAGTGAGAACTACGAGATAGCCCAAACCATCTTATTACGAAAGGAGACCTGTGACCGGGAGTGGAACCTATATAGGCTAACTGTTAATATATTATTGATATGTTAAAAAGAGTTATTAGGGCCTAAATCCTTTTCAAGGAGTGTTTGCGAGGGTGCAACTATGATGAACCTAATAGCCTAAAGCCGACACTCACTGCCTTTAACTATCGCATTGAGTGAAAAATCACATTCGCGAACAGAAAAATGGAAAAGTGGAACAGCTAATCATACCCTTGATATAATAAAGCCACATGTGATGATATGTTATAAGGCTTTTATTACCTGAAAATCATTTTTCAATTGTCAGATTAAATGACGACAAAAAAGTTTAGTAAAAAAAGTGACCTCACCGCGACTACGTTTTGTAATAAATATTCAAACAGTCAGAATAAATTTTTGAGGTTATAAAGCCGAATGTTTTATCATTATGTTCTAGGTCTAACCAGGCCTTCAGTACATAGATTAAATAATGTGAAAAAAATCACAACTGTACATGTTCATTTGCACTTTCTCAAAAGTTGGGATTTTTGTTGGGTTACTTTTATTTTAAAGGTGCGATATGTGAAATTTTAAAACTCTCTCAGTGACCTCAGTCGAGTCCTGACCCCAGATCAACCCGTTTGCACGTACTTCATCCAGTACTCAAAAGGCTAGTGCCTTGGGTGAGCCGCCCCGGGTGCACGTACAGCACCCACCCTATTTTCCAGATAGGTACCGGAGCTGTAGGAATGCTCATTTCTCGTTGCGCATTGTACAACTAACGTTTACCGTGCCACCGCTAAGCCGTTGACTCTCAATTAACTACTAAATCCCCTCTTTGGTAGCGGAGCTGTAAGCCACGCTCACTTCCCGACGCCGAGGCGCATTAGTAGTTCCTAGAAACCTGCGCGGCTGGAGAGACCGGAGAATGTCTAGCTCATCCTCTACTAGCTCTCCGGGCTAGTCCAGAGATGTCGGTCGCAGTGTCACGTAGCTTCCAAGTTAAAAGGCAACTCACGTGTCCCGCGTATTTCCTCGTCTTAGGCCCTCGTCTAGACCGCTACTAGATGCGTTAGCTGCGCACGAGACAGACGCCCCGGCCACACACCACTGAAGCAGACGAACATATCCGTCTCTGCAGCTCACTATAAACTCCGGCGAGTCCATAACCAATTCCGGGTCCACCAGAGACGCCCGTGAAGTATTACTGGCGGAGGCCTTGGCCCGGACGCTCACCATACCCTAATCTTACCGGGAAGCCCGTAGTCTCCCTGGAACTCCCTATCTCCGGGCCGGTAGATAAGGACAAGTTTAGGGTCAAAATGCACCTAACAAACTGTCTATTAGATGGACTGACCAGGTGCCTCTATTAAGTGCAAGTCCACGAGGCGGCACACGTCGCCGGCGATTCAAACTATAGACAAAGCTGCTAATCACTGCTAATAAATGACTGTCGCGATCCTAAGCAATCGCCGCAAGGAAGATAGAGAGAAACCTGTTTTCAAAAATAAATATTGACTTTTCGCTGTTTGAATACAGCGAATAACAAGATCTTATAAAAAAGTACTTTTACTTACACTTTTAATCGCACACATGCCCAAATGATTGTAGCAAATACAGTACGAAAATTACTTTCATTAGCAAAAAAAATGACCTCACAGCGACTACGTTTTGTAAATTATAGTTTTAAACTGTTAAATATTCAAACAGTCAGAATAAATTTTTGAGGTTACAAAGCCGAATGTTTTATCATTATTTTCTAGTTCTAACCAGGTCTTCAGTACATGGACTCAAGCCTTTTTATAGTTTTAATTCGTTCAATTTAATTCGTGTCGTTTGCACATGCATATAGTAGATGTTGTCATTTCATCGGCGATACACAAGTTAGTACGATAATGAATAGAACTTAAATTGAAATTTCAAAAATCTCTGATACAAAACAGCGTAAAACAAATTTCGAGAATAGAGATTACCCACTGCCCACTGACAAAACGTAAGAATTAAATATTATGCATTAT